GGGGGGGGGGATGTCAAGAAGGTAGGTCTCCATCTGTCACCCAGGCTGGAATACAGTGGGTGCTCATGTAGCTCACTGAGGTCGCAACCTCCCAAGCTCAAGCCATCTCCCCAACTTGGCCTCCCAAGTAGCTGGGACTATAGGCACTCACCGCACCAGGCTAATTTTTTTATTGTTCTTTTATAGTGACAGAGTCTTGCTATGTTGCCCAAGCTAGTCTTAAACTCCTGATGATACTCCCACCTTAGCCTCCCATAGTGCTAGGTTTACAGGCATTAGCCACCATGTCTAGCCTAAAAGCCTATCTTTAACATTCCTGAGAACTTGATCAAAGATCTGAGATACACGAGATCAACAGAATCAAAAGAAAAATTTCCTTCTAACTGTCCCATGAAACTAGGAAAGCTTCCTGGCTCAGACACCTCAACCATAAACAGGAAATTCTATGATGACTGATAAGGGAACACCAGAAGCTCCAAGTGCCTGGCACAGAAAATGAACTGTCAACGGGACTCCAATATGGGTCATGCTTAAGCCTCTAAGCTGCATGAAGAGTGTGCAGGGAGCAAGCACAGTGTGGCTGGCACCACAAGCCCCCCAGTGCCCCATCTGTCTTCCCTTCTGTACTGGGATCATTTTTTTGTAAGGTCAGGGAAATGCTCCCATTTTACTTGAAGTCAAAGGAGTGTAAAAGCTATCAGCACAAGAAGCACAAGCAGAGTTTCAAAATGTGTGAAGCCAGTACCTGACCTATGCAGATGAGGAAGCTAGTCCCAGATGATGCCACACCACCCGCTTGGATGCCCACCAGAGCCAGGATCCCCCAAAGGCTGCCCGCTGATGCCTTAGTACCTTCCTCAGGCCAAGTTTGGCAGCAATTTCATCGACCACTTCAGCTTTTGGATCTTCGAGAAGCTCCAAGCTATTCTGTGTGCCAATCTGTCAGGAATCAAAGTAGGAATGTGGACTTAGAGGGGAAGGCTCAGAGCACAGCACCTAACCCTCCCACATCCATCTCTAGGGCCATGGGGCCACATCTCCCCCTGTCAGAAAGAAAAATTACAGCCACAGGTAAAATACAACCCACATCCTTCCAGGCTTTTCTCTTTGTCAGGGTGCAATGCATTTTTAGTAGCAAATCTAAGACATCATGAAGAGGCAGAATCCAGGCTGCACATGTCACAAAGCTCTACAGCAGCTATGTTCAGGACTAAGGAAGTTTTTACACTGTGTCTTATTCTTTGTTTTAAACTTCCTTCACTAGGGAATGAAGTTATTTTCAAACTTCCTTGGCTAAGTAGTTTTATTCCAAATAAATCTGGATATAATGATTAGGCAAGATTAAAGCTACAAGGTAATGATTTGTTTCCAGGAAACAGCCTTCCAAGATTCATGTGCTGCTCCTGTAGGGACAATACTGGTTTCTTAGCCAAGAAGCTGAGGTAGAAAGAGTAAACTCCATAGACCGAGTGGTAAACACACACCCTACATAAACAAAAAGGCATCTACAATCAAGGACATGCTTACAAGGAAGCAGTGTGCGTGGCTGGCGGCCTCTGGTGATGCATGGCTCATGTGGAACCTACAACCACAGGATGCCACATCTAGCAGTGAACAGTCTTTGCCAACATCTTTAAGCTTCACTTACAGGCAACTTGTGGGTCACTGATGACATTCCAACAGAAACCCTGGCCATAAGAACAGGAAAAGTGAAGGTAACCCCCAAATGAGTTTATATATACACACACACACACACACACAAATATACATATATATATGTTGGTTTTGTTTTTTTTTTTTAGAGACAGAGTCCCACTACATCACCCTTAGTAGAATGCCATGGCATCACAGCTCATAATAACCTCAAACTCTTGGGCTTAAGTGATTCTCTTGCCTCAGCCTCCCAAATAGCTGGGACTACAGGTGCCTGCCAACGCCCAGCTATTTTTTGTAACAGTCGTTGTTGTTTTTTTAGCTGGCCCGGGTTGGGTTCAAACCCACCAACTTCCGTGTATGTGGCTGACACCATAACCACGGTGCTCTAGGCACCAAGCCTTGAGCTATATTAATTGGATCTATCCTTATAAATTAGTAAAAATCTGGCAAAACAAAGATCTTTACGTTTGCTGGTTATTAACCACATGGAGGCTCCTAGATATAGGCCTAATCACAAACTCTAAGGAAAAGGATTTGTTTAATTGTTTATTTGAGACAGAGTTTCACTCTGTCGCCCTTGGTAGAGTGCCTTGGCATAACAGCTCATAGCAACCTCAAACTCTTGGACTCAAATGATTCTCTTGCCTCAACCTCCCAAGGAGCTGGGACTACAGGTGTCCACCGTAACGTCCAGCTAATTTATAGACAAGGTCTCATTCAGGCTCAGGCTAGTCTCAAACTTATGAACTCAGGCAATCCACCTGCCTCGAACTCCCAGAGTGCTGGGATTATAGGCATGAGCCACTGCACCCAGCCCAGAAAAGGACTCATTTAATGACATGTGGCACCATGAACTTCAACTTCTATGGAACCAGAGGTTATTGGAGGTCAATTGTTTCCACTGCCAGGATCCTCAATTTGGGAGCCCTGATGATGCTGCTTCTAACATCGACATAAGAGGTTTTGGTACCAACTTTTTTTTTT